TTAATAAAAAATTTACTATTATAACTAGAAAAATATGCAAACTTTAAATATGAAATATTTTAAAAATTTTTAATAGACGTGAAATATTTCAAAAATTTTTTTAAAATTCAAATATATTCGAATTTTTTTTTTTTTTTTTTTTTTTTTTTTTTAATTAAAGGTGGCTTACTTTGCCAAGCAGATTTTATTAGTTTAGTATATGAGGTTGTCTGTTGACAATCCCCTACAGTTTGTAATTACATGAAGAGTGTACAACCTGTCACATATACAACTTGAGTTATTATCTAATTTAAGTAGTCCGCTATACAGATAGATCACCTGTTTGGTTTTACACAAGCTGCTATACCTGTAACCTGCTTATGAGTTACCTATTTAAACACTCTATTCACCTAACTAATACCGGAACCAACTAACGTCACTGTAACACCTAACCGCTTAAGCCAGCTAGCTCATTGCAGATCCATTTACCTAACTCCACTTAGATCCTCTTAGGATGCGTATTGCTTAACATATTGTGGTACACAGAGCTCCAGTTAACCTCGTAAGTAGGGTGAGGGGCACAGGGGGCAAAGGCATGCCCCCCCTTGTGCATGCCCCTGGGCATGTACAAGGGCATGCCTTTAAACTAGAAGGCATGCCCTTTCAAAAAAACATTAACCAAAATTTTTTTCACCTAAAATTATAATGTACGTACATACAATTGACAAATCAAATAATTTGCTCTGCTTCGAATTTATCCCTTGAGTATAAAATTTATAACACGCCCATTACTTCTATTTTTTAGTATAGTATAAATCTGTTATCCGTAACATAATAATATATAATTACTAATTTTAGTTTAGAGTGTTAATTGACTACATCTGATTCTAATGCAAATAAAAATCGATAGTAATTATAACGAATTTATATTAGCTCATAATAAAAAGAGTTATTAATAATTATAGCCAAGTTTGCATTTCTGATTTCAGTAATTAATTTAAACTTATTGCTTTACTTCCAAATTAGTAAATGCATATAGATTTGTATAAGCAATTCGCTACATAGTAATATCAAATAAGCATATGCTGTATCTATATAGTTATTCATTTGCCATTACATTCGTCAATATTATATGCCAAAGTGATCAAAGTTTCAGGCATATAAAGCAAAGTAATAAAGTCGACAGAAAGTATATAATTAAGGGCAAATATTTAATGAAATTTGCCATTAAATAAAAGTGGATACGCCAATATAATATATATCACTTAATGTCGTGTCAGATTAAAATAATTTTAATAACCTAACGAAACGTATATAATTAAGAGCAAATGTTTAATGAAATTTGCCATTAAATAAAAGTGGATACACCAATATAATACATATTACATGTGTCAAGTTAATATCGTGTTAGATTAAAATAATTTTAATAACCTAATGAAACTCTTTAAATTTTGATCTGACACATTTTAACTTGACATACAAAATATACATTACATTTGCCAGTAGAGATTCACACGTAGCAAATATATCTAAAAGACCCTGAATTTTGCCTTAAATAAAGCCAGAGAACCTTCTAATTCATTATAAAACAGTTTCATAGAATTGTAGCATAAAAATACTTACTACTCATATAATTTCGTATTGTCAAACTTATTGTTTACCCGAATTCGATAGTAATATCTGTTATACAAAAAAAAAAATTGTTAGCGAATTTGTTAATTCTTTAATTATGTCTATTCCTACTGGTTTTGCTTTACCACTCCCGACACAAAGCCAACGTTGGTATAGCTTTTATCGCTCTGAAATTAAAGGAGCAGGAAACAGATATACTGCAAAATGTAAATACTGCTTGTGTGAATTAAGTGGTAAATCTGAAAGGCTTCATCGACATGTTCTTCGGTGCAGTGATTATCCTGTCGCTGAAAAAACTATTTATCTTCAAAAAATAACCGAAGAAAGCCTTCCATCTCGAAAACGCATCTATGATAATGAGGATAGTATTTCTATTGAGCAAACTGATCATAGTAATATGCAACATTCGTCTATATCTCAGCCTCGCCAAAAAACTATTGTTGATTGGTGTTCTCGGCCTTTTTCTCAATCACAATATGAAAAGCTTAACGAAAAATTCTTAAGAGCGATTGTTTACGGAAATCTCACCTTTCGCTTTATTGAAAATCCATATTTGCAAGATTTTCTTTATGATCTAAATCCCTCTTACCGTCTTCCTTCCTGGAATATGTTTAAAGATTATTATTTAACTAAAATGTTTTCTAGTCATCTTCAAGAAAAATTAAATACTCTTTCAATACTTATGGATTATACAATTTCTCTCGACGGATGGACTGACAATTCTGGGAATTCAATTTATTGTTTTATGGCCCTTAAAGAATGTCAAGAAACCGTACTAGATATCCTTGACTTATCTGCATATCGGCACAAAGGAGATTTTCTTAAAAATAAAGTGAAGGAGGTTCTAACTTTAAATGGTATTCAAATATCATCCGCGATTGCCTGCGTAACTGATAACCCCTCAAATATGAAAAAAATGAAAAAATTGCTTAATAATGAATGTTCTTATATTATTCCTATTCATTGTTGCTTACATGTCTTTAATTTAATTATTAAGGATATCGTCGATTTTTCCAGTATCGTTTCTGTTTGTAAAAAAAATCAAAAGCTTGTCAATTTTTTTAATGCATCGCATATCTGGCATCGAGAAATGCAAAATTGGCAAAAACAACAAGGTATTAAACACTTCTTAACTACATTCTGTGAAACTAGATGGTACTCACTTGCCAAGGTTTGTATGGGGGTATCTGCTTATGAGGAAGGTTTTCGGCACTGCCTTTTGTTAAGCAAAACTGAACGTCCCAAGTATCCTGAAATTGAGAATGCCGCAGTAAAAAATATCATTCGTGACAGGTATCATTTTGCTAACAATGAAGCACTAACCAAAGTAATTAAGCCAATAGTCGATGCTATTGGAAGGCTAGAATCGAGCGATTCAAGTTTGGCTGATGTTTTTAAGGAGCTCATATATATTTACCAACATATATCACAACTTGAAATTCCTATCAACGGCTTAAAAGACCATGCTCTTGCTACTATCAACAAACGTGCAAAAGAATTTGATAGCGATATATATTTCGTTGCCTTCTTTCTTTCTCCAGCATATAAGAAAATAGCTACATCGAAAAAAATGAGTGGAGAAAACATTATTCGTGCTTCAATGGAAGTAGCTAAAGCTTGGAATTTTACCAAAAGAGATGCTATAGTTTTACGTAATGAGTTGATTAATTATAAAAATAATGACCCACCATTTTACAAATCTAGTAACATTTCACAATCTCCACGATCATACTGGTCTGATTTTGCTGAAACTTCACCAATCTTACGCCATTTTGGCAAAAAAGTTCTTGCTATTGTCCCCCACGCAGCTGCCTGCGAACGACTCTTCTCATCACTTGGAATAATCAAGTCAAAAGAAAGAAACAAATTAATACCTGATAGTCTTTCTATGATCGGACAACTCAGGCATGAACTCAAAAAAGATATACCCATAAAAAATAAAAAACAAAATAGAGCTGTTCCCAACCTTTCAAGCTCCAATAATAGCCATGTTGATGAGAACGAACAAATTATAGAAGAGGATGAGCAAGTAGTAGATGAGGAAGAAGAAAATGAATTAATTGAAGAGTTAAGTGAGGAGCTAGAAGAAGTTATAATGGAGCAGAATAATATGTCAGTTATGGAAGAATTCTTTGATTTTACTATAGTCGAAACAAATCAGGATACACTTGATGACGATTCATTTAGCACAGAACCAAATAGACAACCGATTGAGGACGAATGGTCTATTGATGAAATTCTTGAAGACCTATAAAAATATATAAGTTATACAGTACGTATACTATAAAATTTTTTATTATTAACAATATTTATTAAAGAATATAGAAAATTGCGTATACTTAGTTTATTGAATTATG